ATAAAATTTTTAATTTAATTATAAAATTATATTTAATTATTAAATTAATTATGTCCTATAACCTAAATTCTTAGAAGAACATAATTCAATTTCGGTTATAAGGTTTACTGGAACTTTGATTCTTAAAAGAGTTCTTTGTAGCATGTTTAAACTAATAGTGTCATATGCTTTGGCTGTATCTTGAAATAAGATCCACAGTTCCTTATTCTTTTCTTGAGCTTTTTTACAGATGTTGTTTATTAGATATATAAGTTCTGATATACATTCTCCTGGTAAGCCAGCAAAGTTTGGTTTTTTTAAAATATTGTATGTTTTATATATGGCTAATAGTTGGTTTGTAATTATCTTGGTAAAATACTTTCTCGGAACATCCAGAAGTATAATAGGTCTTGTATTGCTCAGAATACCTTGCCATTCTTTTTCTTTTGAAATTGGATAGAGTAGACTTTCTTTCCATGTTGCCAGGATTGTATCATAGGTTAAGTATATATTCATAAGTTGGCACAGTATTCTTCTTTTGGGTGTTCCTAGGTTTTTAAGCATCTCGTATTTGACTTTATTAGGTCCAGCTGCTTTGTCATTAGGTAGGTATTTGAGCACTTATTCTAATTCATGTTCTGAAATTATGTTTTCCATACTGTTGTACCATTCTTCTTTTATTTCATTTATAGGTTTGTATTGTTTTTTTCACCTCTCATCTAATGATTAGAAATTGCAGTTTCGTTTTTTGAATACTTTCTTGTAGTATGCTTCAGTTTGACGAAGAATTTCTTCCTTGTTTACTGAAATATATTCTCTTCCTAGATTATCTTGAATATGGATTTGGTCTATACTATCTTGTCACGGAAGTTGTTTGTTAGTCCTTATACCACCTTTCTTTGATTTTCTTTGAGGTTTCTATATTTTTTCTGGATTGCTTTCTTGATTTCATTATTTGTTCTACTCCATTCTTCATTTAAATATATTTTCTTCAGTGTTTTGGCCATTTCTCTAAGCTATAGCTTTAATTGATCTTCTTCTTCTTTCCCTTTTATTGCTTTTATAATATCACAGCTTGACTTGAAGATTAATACAATTGGGCAATGTTTTTATTAATTTTCTTGTATTTTTTCCACAACTTTTCTCTTTTTGTTGTGCCGGTTACTGGGTCATTTAGTTCTGATCAGTTATAAACTGCTTTGGTAATTTATCAGTAGCTATAGAATGCCTCTTTCTCTCTGTGACTTCTTTTTTGAATTTATGGATGGCTTGATTCTTTTGCTATTCTTTTTTCACAATGGAGGTGATTAAAAGCTGAAGCTATTAGAACTTTTTCAAAAGTTTTTCAAGATTCTTGGACCAATTGATTCTGTTTATTGTTGTCAATTAGATTTGAGTTCATAATTTGAATTTGGTACTGGATATTACTTTGTTATAGCTTCCGATCTACTTTCTATATGTATTTTTTCTATTGTGTTTTTGTTGTTTTGAACAGATTGATTATTTTTTTCTTGCATGGCTTGTAAGTATTTATAGTTGTTTGATAATCTTTAAACATAATATTACGAGTTATTTGAATGAATAGTATTGTATAATCACTATTGGATATTAGGTAAAAGTCTTTGTTGTTAAATTGGAGTATGTTATTTGCTATGCTATAGGATTCCTATATATAATCTATCCTGCTAGAACTTGTTTTATTTCTTCAGATATATGTTGTATCTATTGGTTCCCAGAGATTTTGTAAGTCAATTAAGTTCCAGTTTGTCATGTATTGAAACAGTTTGCTTTCAGGTTCACTTGATTTAACAAATTCCCTTATAGTATCTGTTGATTTATGGTCTGTTCTTGGATCTACTATTGCATTGAAGTCACCTATTATAATCACCTCATAATTCTTTTGTAGATATGTTTGGAGTAAATCTTGAATCTTTTTTTGTAGAATTTGGCCTTTTTTCCTATCACTTGATAGATATATTTGGACAATCCAGGTCTTATATCCTCTATTTAGGAGATTGATTGTTATAAGATATTCATCAATTTTATCGATTGGTGCTATATATCTTTTGATATTTTTGCAAATTAATAGAAGAACTCCTGCACTTCTGGTGTTGTTTGGTTCGATGCTGAAAAAATATTTGTATTCTGTTTGTTTTTAAAATATGAAATACTGATTTTCCTGTGAGAGTTTTGTTTCACTAAGCCCTATTATATCTACTTTTCTCTTCAATAGCTCTTCTATGAGGTTGTCTGGTTTACACTTTATGTGATTCCTCTAATATTATGGATACTTATTGATATTGTGGATGGGAGGATACTTGATTTGGGCTTGAGGGCTGATATGCTATCTTCATGTCCTTGGTGTTTTGGGAAGGATGTTCTTTGGGAAAGTAGGAATTCTTCTATGTTAGTAGTTCTCGTTGTACTGCCGGTTGCTACCAAGAGATTCTCATGTGTCACATCAGATATTGATTCCTTTATTGTATTGTTGGAAAGGATGAATATATGTGGAGGAATATTGTATTCTATTCACGTTGCAGTTCTATATAGTGGAAAATCTTCTGATTGGTTGCAAATATGGTTGGCATTTTTAATATAGTTAGTTTTATCCCTCCAGTTGTGATGGATTTCCTTATTAGGAAATAGTTAATCTTGACTTGATTCAGAATGATTTTTGTGTATTAGTAAAAAATTTTCTGATTGATAGAGAACAGGTTTGCTTGTTTCTATATTTAATATTTTATTCGTATGTTTTGTTGAAATATTGGATATTATAAAGTGTTGTATATGACCTGTGGGTCTATAGCACAGTGGTTAGTGCTCCACAGGTCAGATCACAAGATACCAGTTCAATCCCATGTGAA